AGCTGTCCTCTTTTTTGGAAGCCTGCAAGTGGCCCCTGAATGGGGTTTGACCTCACTAGGACAGCAAGCCCTGCTTTCTCTGAGTAGAAGGGCCACAAAATGAATCAAGATCTTATTAAAACCATGACAAGCATGGACTTGAATGAATAAACCAAGGGTTGAGCTCATGAAAACTAAATGGGGGAAAGCCGCATGGAAAGCATTAGTTTTATTTTAAACATGCTCTGGGGCCAAGAGTTGGTCATTTTTGGTGGAAGAAGAAGAGTTCGTGCATTTCTGGCTTCTTCTGCTGAGTGGAATGAAGCCATTTTAGATGGATAATGTCGTTGTTGACAAAAATTTCTGCAAACCATTATCTGCAAATATTCCCAGACGAATCACAAGGAAATGACTTCACTAGAGAAAATGGCAGTTTGTCCTGAGTCAGAAATGCAGCTCCGCACCCTCAGTTTTTCCTGTCTGGACTCTGTATTTGCTCCTCTAGGATTGCGCTAATGAAAACATGGCTGTCATTTTGGCCCTGACCTGCCAGTCTCCAGAGGACAATTCTAGCTGTGAAAGTGTATCTTACCCAATTTCTTTTTTAAAAAAAGAAATCATACAGGCATAGGCCAGAAAATTCACATGGTTGAAAATAAACCTCAGGGGAGCCTAAGTAAATAAGGCATTGACAAAAATTCAGAATTTTTTGTTTGGTCTGAGCAATAAATCAAAGGAAGCAAATGCATTATATTTGAATGGTTGCCCCTTTTTCCTTCCAGTAGCTAGAAAGAGCTCATGCTCCCCCTAGTGGGGAGAAATAGTGCAAAGCTTGACCAAATGAAAAAAAAAATCCTATTTTAAAAGGCATGCAAATCAGTGTTGGGTTCATTTATGAAGCTTTCTTCTCCAGTGCTCTCTTGAAGGCCCTTCTTCATGGACTGAGCGAGCCTTTTTTCCAGGCTATGCAAGCTTTTAGGCCCAAGGAAATGGGATGGCTGTATACCTGCATAAGGTAAAATAGTAAAATCTTGCTCCAGCGATAAGCAATCTTACCAGCAATCCCAGTGTCCCTCATGAGGTGATCCATATGAGGGGGATATGATGGAAGCGCAGTTTCGGCTGTCCCGGGACATAACAATTCAACCTTATCTAACAGTCAGAAGTGTTCAGAGTGCTTTGCACGCCCTTATCGCTCTTCAAGTCATTGTGATGATCTGCTTCATTCCTTTACTGCCCCATAGCTGAAGCTCTCTGGAAGGTTTAAACTAGCCCCAAAAAGTAGGGCAGCATTATTCTCCCCATAAGGCAGGCGTCAGGAATGCAGGGAGAAGAAAGTTGAGAGTGAGGACCCACACGAGCCCTAGTGCACTTGTGGCAAGACGAGAGTTGCACGGGGACTTGCCTGCACCCTGTAGATCTCATAAAACAGTGGCTTCCCGGGAGGCGTGTGCATGGCATCTCCTGGAAAGCAGACCAGGCACATCTGGGCAGACACTGGCTTTTCCAATCAAGGCATTTTACTTTGAGATGAAGTCTTTTTAAAAATGATATGCAAAGGAGCAACTCATGCATGCAAACAACGGGGGCGCCTACTCTGTTGATTGGGCCCGGGTGCCAAGACCAATCCACCTAGACTCCCAGCTGGGCCCATGCGTATCACCCGGGTGGCTTCACACCCTCCCCCTTGACCACCAGTGTGGTGGTTCCCTAGTTCTTGTGCAGCTTGTGCCCCATCTGTTCAAGGCTCTTAGTTCTTGTGTAGCTTACACCCCATTTGTACAAGCCTCAGGAGTTGTTACTGGCTATAAGAACTTTAGGCTGAAACAGGCTGGTATTGTTGGTTCCGTCCCCTTTGTTCTTGGCCCTGTGCACCATTGGCACGTAACCCTGGAATCTTCTCTGACATGGCATTCAACCCATAGACTGAAAGAGGTTCTGCACCCCTGCCCAATGATAGGGCCGGGTCTGGCTCAGGATTCTCTCTGTGGAGCATTTTTCTTCCTCCCTGAATGAGGCTCCACCTTTTGAAAATCACTGTATTGTGTCTAGAAGTCATGGCAGTTCTTGTCTAGTAATCTTGGATTTAAACATAGCTGGGGTTGTTGGTGTGAGCTAGTCAACCAGTTCTATTTTTATTGCCATTTTGCTGTTTATCTTAGGTAAATAAAAAGAGGAAAAGGTGTAATTGAGTATCATATTTAAGTGACAAACATTCCTGTGTTGTGTTTCCCCAGCAACTTCTTCCATTGTACTCTTAGCTTCAGTGTATCCTCCCTTCGGGATAAGCATCCTCTCGTGCCAGTCTGCACGGTCCTTTCAAAACCTTTCTGATCCCCAGTGCCTGAATGTTCAAAGCATTGTTTTTTGGAGACAAGATGTCTTTCTTCTCTGGATTGCTAAATGGTTGAATTTAGAGTTGCGGTGTCAGCTTTCACACGCACATGTTTGTGTATTCATATTCAGCTGAATTAGATGAAAAAGGCCAAAGGATATAAATGGGAGTGACTGGTCGTGTTTCAATATAGGAAGGGAAGGGGAAAGGTAGACTCACAGAATTTAATGGAGATTTCCCATGACATTTTAAAAGTCTGCATTACATAATCCCTTGAAGATATTTGAGAGGGAGGGAATCAAAGAGGTTATTTGATATTCCCATATGTGTCTCTTGAGAAACTCCATTGCGGTCCTGGCCTAGGGTGTGCAGAGGCATATGACTGAATGTGAATGGCAGGGAAACTGGCTCACTGACTAAAGTCAGCGAACAAAGGGGGCATTGTTGTATGCTATTTGGCTGTTCGCCTGCACAAAAGGTAACTACATTTCTTCTCCCTCTCTCTCTTTTATGTGTCATTGGTGGGTTTCAGGTTTGCTTCTCTAGGGAAAAATTAATTCTGACGCTAATAGAGAACACCAGAGTTGTAAATACCAGTGGTAGTATTATAAAAACAGAGACCAGGGATTACTAGAGCAGGAGTTTTGTGTCGGCTCCTATCAGTGTACTTGTGGAGGTACACTGCAAGACCTTGCGGAGGTTTCCGTGTTTGTTACCATTCATCGTGCTGCGGTTTCATCTGCCGTTTCTATTGAGCAGGTAGCACTAAGTATGATGCAGCTCCTGGGCTCTGGTAAGTTCTCTTTGCATGGTCCAGCCTTCGGGGGAGATAATGACCCCTGGCTGGGTCTGCACAGTATGATCAGCCATGCTGGGCTGGAAGCCACATTTGCCTCAGGGTAGTTGGTCGTGTTGTCCAAACCCAGCCAGAGTGGCTTGAGCTTGGTTAAGGAACCATCCTCAGTGCCAGAGCAGTGTGGCAGTGGAACCTATTACCTGGGGAACCTGTGGACTCTCCCTCGCTGGAGACATTCCGAAAGCATCCGGACAGCCACCTGAATGGGGTGGTGGAACCAGGTGCCCTGCGATCAGTTGGACCTGATGGCCTTCTGGCCCCTTCCAACTCTACTCTCTACGATTCCATGAACAGGCTGCTCTGAAACAATGCCCAGTCGATTTGCCTGAATGAAAAGAGAGCATACATTGAACAGAAGAGGTGCACATTTCTCTGAATGTTTCCGAAAAAGGACACTTTCCCCCATTGTCTAAAGCATGGCACTACATAAAAGATAGTGTGTTTGAAAGTGCGTGTGTTTTTTAAAGTAATCACAAGTTTGTGATAACTTGTTGAAAAGCAATTGTTTCTGTTCATGTTGGCATTCAGGCCGAGAACGAGTCAAGCTCAGAAACAGCAACTACTGTCCTGTGCCTCAGTACCCTCTGGCCCTTGCTTTAGGGGTGCTAAGGGCTTTAAGAGGTTTTACCCATTTGGTGTGTCATACTACCTTGCAATTTTTGCTTGAACGCTGAGTGAGGAACAGCGTTGTGCATTTGCAAGATTTTGAGTATGATTTGTTCCAGTAAAAGACTCTCACCTCAATCACATGGCATAAAAAAAACAAAAAAACAAAACAAAACAAAAGACAACAAAAACCCCAGAAAGTTAATGAAGAAAAAGCAGTTTGCACATAAAGAGAGATAAAAATCCACCAGTTGTTAATCAGTCTGACTTAAGAGTAATTTCCATTGATACCTTTATAGAGAAAGAAATTGGAATTTGGGCATAAAAGGAATATCAAGCTGTGAAATAAAATCTACCTTAACACCACAGTGTTGATCCTGAATGCATATCTTTAGGTATGATCATCTTTCATGAATATAAAGACAAATGAAAAACATTTAAGGAAATATATTCCTATCCATTTGCAAATCCTAAGTGATTCAGAATGAGAACTGGGGTTTGACAGAAGCATGCATTGTTGTATGGCCTCATCCTATATAATAAATACTGTCTGTCTGTCTATCTATAGTATATAAATAAATATATCATATATATATGATCATTGGATTGCTTTTGGAGCTGACTGGTACTGGTACTTTGTCAAATTGGTAGTTCTCAGCCTGAACTCTCCAGATTTGTTTGGACTATAGCTTCCATCATCCTCAGCCAGCATGTCCATTGGCCATGTTGGCTGGCCATGACAGGAACTGAAATCCAAACACATCCAGGGGTGGCAGTTTTCGGAAGACTGGTTTCCTGTATCACTATCTTGATTACTTTTGGAGTGGTACCCAAAACAGTTCTGCACTCTTTGGACTTCACATGGTGAAGCGGCGGTATGTGTGTGTGCATGATTTGGATAAAGGCATTGCAAAACTGTGCTTGTATAGCTGTGTCCTGAATTTAATGAGCTTTGGCCAGACAGCAGAAATCAGAAATAGCCAAGGAATTCCACAAACAATCCTGAACAAACTGTTCCATGAAACAACGACTCCTATAGAGACAGTAAAGACATTGGAACTCTGCACTGGTCCTTTGTTTGTGGTGAAGTTCATCTTAACTTGTTTTTTAGTATTTTTTAGTATAATAATTTAGCATTCTAAATTCAGAATACATTTAGAATTGTGAACTCCCCTCTTCTTACACAAATGCTATTTAATAATGTCCTTTTTGCAGGATGGCAGCTCACTGAATCTGTTGCACAACGTGGCTGGGACGTCTTGCTCTCGATCTGGGAGGCCGCCTGGCAGTTCTCAGCCTGAACTCTACTGGAAAGTGGTCACTCACTGCTAAAGCCTGTGAAGGAAAGTGGCAGAGCACAGTCTTTGATTCAGCAAGAACGACTTCAGCCCCGGTTCGAATGCAGCGCACAAGCCATAAGCATAACAAGTGGCGGAGTGGAGCCAGGTCTCGGGGGGATGCAGCACTGGCGTGGCTTTCTTACTAGGGCACTGGCATCACCTGCCACCAGCTGCTCAGGTTTCCCTATTTCCTCACGGCACTTGGGGAGAACAGTTTCCCCCAGCAATGCTGTGTGTCTGTATGATCAAGGGCCATGGTCTTGAATACACAGTTAAGGCCCAGTGGCTCTACCAGAGCTGGGGAAATGGCAGCTGCTAGAACGGCTTTGCTGCTATGGCTCAACACAGCCACCTGGAGCTTTGGACTCCTATGGGTGACACTGCGACAGGGACCACCATGATGGAGTACCTGCTCTTTTATGTTTCCCATGTGCTAAGTAGTCATCATTCATTGTTGCACGAAGCCGCCCCCGCTGTCCATACTAACTCAGCAGCCCGTCTTGCAGGGAAGTCCTCTGCAGGACTGGCTACCGTGCAGATAGAAGTCCACAGATGCAATCTTAGGGAAGGCTATGGATACTGTGGCCCGTCAAGCACAAAGATGGGCAGTCAGTTGCACTCTGGACGTACAGCCAATGTGCGTGATCAGCATTCATCACAAAGGGAAAGGGAAGACAAAGGCTGGGTTTGCACACCACACGGAGACATGGTGGGTTTTTTACCCATGTTGTCTGAACCCAGTTACAGAATTTCAGCCAATCCTGGAAACCATGGAGATAAACAATGCTTTGTCGCATGGTTTCCACACTTCACTGAGGATTCTCATTGGCATCCAGACCTGGTAGTTTCTTTTTTCTGTCTGTGGTGCAAAAACACCATAGAGTCCCATGCATAGAGCAGCAACAGAAGGGGCCACTCCGGGAATCCAGGCTCTGTTAGCCACCGTTTCTGGTCAATGGGCACATCAACACACACTTTGTTCCTGCGGCTGTGCCAATCACCCTGTTTACTTTCTGCAACTGGGAGAAGGCAGGTATGAAAAGAGAAGAGGGAATTGCAGCAATAGTGTTGCATTTAATGTAAAAACACTCCTTTGGAGGCTGGATGGGCTAGGAAATGTTAAAGAGATGGATGTACAATCAGGAGGGGAAAGAGGGGAAACCTGCCTCAAGACCTCCATGGACCGATCTGAAGAGGCAGCTGGGGCCGATGGGAAACAGTAAAGAATAGGATTATGCTCATAAGGGTTGCTGTGAAGTGTTATGAAAGTATCGGCATGGAGGGGAGCATGGAAACCAGATTTACCCAGAAACTATGTCACCATCGACTGGTAGGCTAAAGAAAAAAAAAGTGAGCCAGGGAAACAGTGCAGGACCGTGTGCCATGACATGTGAACCCAGACAGTGTCTATGACCAATGTCACTGTGTGCCACTGTAAGTCTTCAAACTGACGTGTTCTGTTGTGGTGGTCAACTCATGGCCCTTTGGATGTTTGGGTCTACAGCTCAGATCAAGCCAGCATGAAAAAACGGCGAGGGACGGTAAGAGTCAGTCCAGCACACACTTAAGAGGTCACCAATTCCCCATCCACATTCCAAGGGACCTTTTTGCCTGGCCCCTCCCTCGCGAGGGTCATGGGACTCCAAGCCAGCCCTTCGCCACAGCCTGCTAGCCTGCATCCTTCCCAGCCATTGCCCAAGCCAGCTAGGAATCTGGAGGGCAACCAGCTGGGGAAGGCTACTCTATTCACAGCCCACTTGATCCACCTAAGTCTCTAGTTCGGGCAGATGAGCATGGATGTGTATGAAAGCAAGCACTGGAGCATGTGGCTCAGGGGGCACATCAGTCCTCCTACTTGACATCCATGTGGAAGGCCTTGGGATTCCCTTAGGAAATCTGAATCTTCCTCAGCGTTTGGTTTCTGGGTCTTCTCGCTTCTCCCCACCGCCTCCTTCTTGGTATTCTGTGCCTCACCCTTATACCTGGCACTCTCTTTCCGTGCTTCCCTAGCTCAGATGCAGCACTGAGCACTGGCAGATGCAGGATGACAAGAGGAACAAAACAAAACAAAACGCTTTGTTTATGCAAGAGCCATGTGGCACAGACCTGCTCTTCAGTCATCGAAAAGGCACTCTGAAAATCAAAGATAGTCGCTGAGTTCGCCACAACGGCATTGATGAGCTTATCTCCGTGGAGCACAATCCTACAATAGAAGGGGGAAATGAGACCTCTGCGGATGGACCATCTGTCTTGAATAGAAGAAATCAGTTGCTGACAGAGGAACAGGTGGGCAGTCCGGAGTGGAGGACTCTGCGAATGGTTCGCCTCAGCGCCACAGGCCTGCGGCCGATCTGCTGGCCGGCAGATTCCAGTCAGCCGACAAGGGCCACCCACAATGGGAAAGGCTCAGGGCCAGCCCCAGGGCCTGCTGCCCACTCCTGCAGGACCCTGCCTTTTCCTCTCTGCCTCCGCACTCCTCCTTTGCAGTGCTCCCCGCCTCTTGCTCGCTGTGTGCACAGCAGGGGGGCGGCCAGGTTCTAGGCAAGAGTACCCCAAAGTGAGCCCTCCGGGGTTCTTCCGAGGCTCTTAGCTTTGTGTGGCTGCACACAGGGCTGCCGGCTTGCTTGTCTGCTGGAGCCTCCTTCTCTCTTCTGACAAAGAAGGGGATGACAAGGGGCTTGTTCGCAAAGAGACCTGCAACTGCTGAGGAAGAGGCAGCGGCCGACTGTCTCAGAGAGGCCCCAAGGAAGGTCAAGGTCAGGCATTTCTGCTCAAGGAACCGGGGAGCAAGACCCACGGAGCTCAGGGAGACTTGCAAGAAAACGTGCACAGGCTGGAGCCCCGAATCTTTCATCCGGAGCCTCTGGGAGGCCCTCTGCCCTCCTGCAATGGCTGCTTTCTGGCCCAAGGACCTCTGCTGCATCCGGTCCTCTGGACTGGCTGGCATGTTGCCCACAGGCACTTCACCTTCTCTGCCCTCCCTGTGCCCAACACTTTCTGCCTGAGGGCTTTCCCCGCTGCGATCAAATGTTCCCCCGCTCCCCCATTCATATACCCCTCTTTAGAAATAGGGGTGTCCTTAGGAGACCAACAAGACTCACGCTCACAGGCTCGGAAGTATATGCAACTGTGGCACGTGCAAATTTGCGCCTGGTGGGAAAGGCTTGTGGGCTGGAGCCCCGGCTCTCTTCAGCGGCTGCATCTCAGGCAGAGCTCAGTCCTTCCCAGCCTGCAACAAAGTGCTACAGCTGGAGTGCTCCTGTCCGCTTGCCCAGCCAGCCGTGCCCCACCCAGCAGCAGATGACGCCATTCCAGTTTTCTGGCTGCTCTCCTTGCACACAGTCCACCAGCATCCCTGGCCACGGGGCGTGCTCAGTCCTTGTGGGGTAGTTAGAGGATCCTGCCACTCCCCGTTTAGGCTCCTCTCGCGTTGCCTTGCATTTTGCAAACCTCCCATTTCTACTGCACCTTTTGGGATCTTCCTCTTCTCCATGCAGGGCTGCATGAGTCCAACACACTCCCCTCAGGACTTCTGACGTGCAGGAAAAGATGCCGGGCATTTAGGCTGGAACCCTACTCATGCAAAGCATGGCTTCCTACTCCGGGTGTGGGATGATGGGAGTTGTAGTCCAAGACACCTTGAGGGCACCGGGTTAGAGCAGGCTGAGCGCAGGGCTGGGAGCCTCTGCTTCTCAGCCGGGAGTAGGTCAAGCCATGCAGAGGGCCGCAGGACCAGCTACTCCTTTGCACAGCCCTTGCTGCAAAGGGCAGGCAGTCACTGCAGGCTGTGATTAGGCCTCACTTAATCAGTGCCACACACCGCTGGGAAAGGACTCCCGCCCGGGGCTCGAGAGCGCTCGCCTGCCAGCTGTTTCTGGGACCAGATGAGAAGAGGCAGTCCTGCCAAGGGCGAGGGGGGAGGCGGAGAGAGAGGAGCTGGGCGAGGGAGCAGGCTGACTCCCGTGGCTCCTTCTGTTCAGGTGATTATCCTGGCAGACTCAGCCAAGGTCAATCGTTTCCTCTTTGGACTTCAGAGGAAGGGCTTGCAAAGGCAGGGCGGATGGCGCACAAATCCGGTTCCTTGGAGCGCTGCCGCCTGCTTGCCTAGCGCACCGGCGTGCTGCCCACAGCACTCTCTCTGGCTTTCACCCCGGGGGCCGCGTGGTGTGGCCGGCTCGCTCCAGGAGTGCCGGCTCGGGAGGCGAGGCCGTGCCACGTCAACATGCCCCGCAGCTCCTGGGAGCCCACCGAGGCCTGAGGCAGTGCTCCCTTCGGCCGCTGAGCCAAGGCACAGGGAACGGGCCCCGGGGTGGGCTTGGTGCCATGCGGCTTGATGGCCAGCTGGCTCTGCCCCAGGCTGCAGGCGCCAGTGCCCAGGCGAGAGGCGAGCGATCCCAGAACAAATAGCTGGGAGTGAGGCCGGCCAATGGCTCCCCCCGCTGACTTGGAAGCAGGTTTGGGCTGGATCGGCTGCGCTGGCCAAAGCGATTTTCCATTCTCCTCTTCCCCATGGCAGCTCCACCGGCCCCGGGAAAATGCCGGAGAACCAGGCTGTTCTTGTGGTTAGAGCGCTGGGCAGGGACTCGGGCAGTCCAGGTTCAAGGCCCCACGCAGCTGTGAAGCTCACTGGGCGACTTTGCACCCGTCGCTGACAGTCAGCCTAACCTACCGCACAAGGTTGTTGTGAGGATAACATGGCCAGGAGGAAGAGCATGTCTGCCTTAGAGGACTTGTGCTCCTTAGAGGAAAAAGTGGGATGCAAGAAGCAAGAAACAAAATGCTATGCGGAGAGTTGGGAGACTGCTGAGTGGAGTCGGCTGTAGGATGGGGAGAGGGAGAACCCTGCACAACTGGGCAGCGGATCATTGGGGCCCTTAGCACCCAATGATTGCTTCATATAGAATGGGCTCTAACCTGAGGTAAACACTGGTTCTCACTGTATTCATAACTTGCATTCATAACCACCTGAAGTGCCGTTTTTGGTAGAAAGGAGGGTAAAAATAAAACCTGTAGATAAACACATTGACTTGGTGTACAAAACACCACAAGTAACCAATATTTTGTAATGGCTGGAATGGAGCGTTAATGGGCCAGCTCCAAGGTGCACAGTTACCTGTCATAGGGGCAGCGGGTACTTGCTTTCACGGTTGTGTCACAGTTGTCACCAATCAGCCAAACAAACTGGGTGTGATTTCTTAGTCGGATATTCTTCCAGTGCTTCTTTGCAACGTAGCCACAGCCAGCATTAAAGTCTCCCATGAAGATGAAATTCTGAAAAGAGGGATTATTAAAGGCAACCTCAAAAAGGCAGAGTTGCTAAAAGCAAAAGTGAAATGTATCACCCCACACCTGCACTGTTATCAATGGGTAAGTTCAAGGGATGGAACAACAGGGTAATTGTCTTGTTGAAAAGCCATCCTGCCGTGGGTGGGACAGGCATCCGGTATTAGGCTCACGCACAGCAGTGGCTGGCCCAGGAAGTTCTAGACATTGTTGAGAATTACTTCTGTGGATCTACAGAAGCTAAGACAAGGGTAGGACAAATAGCTGAGAAATGAAAAAAGGACAACTCCCAGCATTCCTGTCCATTGGTCATCCCAGAGAGCACCAGGTTGGGGAAGGCTGAAATAGAAGAAGCAAAGATGTGTGTGTGCACGTGAGAGACATTGTTCCAAGAAACCAGACCAGCCTTCCCAACCTGTTGCCCTTCAGATGTTTTGAACTGAAATTCTCATCATTCCTAGCCAGCATGGGAATTCTGGGATTTGTAGTTCAAACCATGTGGAAGGTAAGGTGGGGAAGGCTGAATCAGATGTTTACTTCTGAGGTGGTGTTATAACATCTAAGGTGAGATCCTGATATTGCTTAGATATGATAGGCACTTTGAGTTTGTTATAAGACAAAAGTGGGTTTTAAATCTAATGAATAAAGAAACATCAAGACTTCATGCAGCAGCGTAAACATGCCAAAGTAAAAATGACTAACCTTAGAAGCCCAGTGCTGTTTGACATCTAGGTACACATCATAGAGTTCATCGATTTCTCGCACAGACATTTCTGGGGTTGTGTGCAGGGGGATTATCACAAATTCCTTGGCCACTTAATAAGCAAACACACACACACACACACATAAAGGTCACTCATCAGCATTTTAATACTCACTTCATCAAGATTAGAGATACTGACAGATTTAATATGTTCATGGCTTCATTCCAGAGATATCCTGAACATGTGGGAAGGCATGGCAAATGGAAAGATTCCACTGCCAATTTCTTCTGATTTCCCTCACTTTCCACAATTCCCCATGCCCCTGCATGTGCTATTCCAGAAAGCCCCTCAACTCTCTGGAGCAGCTTTCATCAGTCTTGAAAACTTGGCAACTGCTGAAAACAACCGCTCTCACTGTGAAGGGCTCAGACTTTTGCAGCATGGCTTATTTAATATTTAGTCCACTGGGAACAACTAATTCAACTTGTAATGAGTTTTGGAACACTTCCCTGGTTCTGCAAAGGGCTATAATCAGGGATGGATTATTTTTTATGCTAAATATTCTAGAGTAGCTCCAGCCAAACTGAGATCTGTGTTTGCTAGGAAGGCAAATATTCAGCTCCACTGCTGAATTAGATGTGACCTTGCTTTTTATTATTTTTATTGTATTATTTTATTTCTGCGTTGCCCAATAGCCATAGCTCTTTGTAAGACCTTGAAAGATGCCTGTATGACAGGCTACCCAGGGACTCTACATTAAAAGAGCAATCCTATGCATTTTAAGACAGGAAAAAAGCCCACAATTCTAAACATGCCAGGATCATGTTGGGAGCTCTAGGCCTATTTTTGTCTAAGCATGGATAGAATTTTGCCTTAAATATAATACATAAATCAATATAGAGGATTTCCTTGTCCAAATGGGTGTTTTGTACTCCAGTTAAGAACTTTAACTGGGGAAGGAGAGAGGGAGGGAGAGTGTTGCACATTCGGTGGCATCTAACCGGTTTTTGGAGAGGAGAACCAGATGACGAAAGGCTCCCTGGAAAGCGCATCTTCGTCGCCAGGCTGCAGGTCAGGATACTGGTAGGTTTGCTTCACAGACACCATTTTCAGTCTACAGAGTTATTGACAGGAGATTAGTGATCCCAAGTATGGACCGTTTGTCCTGTTAGTTTCTTTTAATACATTGGCTGCTTTTTTGCCCAAAGGAGGCAAAAAGATAATACTCCAGTCTGTAACTAAAATATCGCAGGAGTTCCCGAGTCTCGAAGCTCCCAGCACGGCATCCCAGCAAGGTTAACCTGCAAATGTCTGAGGCCTCCGCTGTTCTGCACCATTGCAGTGAAAGTGCGGGAAAAACCTGATTCAGGGCAGAACATTATCATCCCCTCTTTGTTGACATGCTTAGGGTTAAACACAACTGCAACAGAACCCACAATCCCCCAAAATGGCAGCTTCAGAAGCAAAACACACCCAGAACCCTGCCAGAAGGATGTTAGAGAACTCAATCGGCAGCCAAGGGCTGTCCCAGATTCTTTCTCGGCAGTGTCCAAATGCGTGTTGCATCCATGAAGCAGGGAATTCACTTACCTGTAGAAAAAGGCATATTGCTCCTTATAGCTTTTTCTTCCTAATCTGTTGCTGACCACATATCTGTACGGTTCACGTGAGTAACTGAAGGAGAAAATCGAAACTGATCTGAGCCTGCAATAATCCCTCCTTTGTGCTCTGCCTTGAAAGAGCATTTGCCAGCGCGTAGTCCTGTGAGTCCCTAGGCAGGAGAACATACACGGAGGCAGACACACTCGACAGGTGAAAGAACGTTTCGCAGCTTAGTGCATTGGGCAGACTGCTCTATGGTATATTACCTGAGAGAGTCCCTTCCGCCCTTATGTCCTGCCCACCTACGGAGATCAGCAGGTGGAGCACTTTTGGTGCTATCACCGCCGCGGCTACAGCCTTGGCCACCAACTGGGATCACACCAAAAAGCCTCCCAGAGACAGAAAAGATGCATCATGTTCTCTGGGCTTGATTCCGCATCTGGCTCAGAGGATGGCCCTGAGGTGGAAGACGTGTCATCCAGGGAACGAGCGGCGGCTGCTCTGGGGCCTACTCTGCTGGGCTGCCCAGAGTCCTACTGGCGTGCATGTCGTGATCAGCCAGCTGAAAAGAAGCCATAGTGGGTGGGTTGTTTGCCTGCTAAGCTACACAACTCCCAACAAATGATCAGGTCCCCTGAGCTTTGCTGTGCCTTGCTGCCTGCTATCCTTCCTCTTACACCCAGCACACATCTCATGGGCCTTTGCAGCTCCTTCTCAAGCACCTGCTCTGCTACTCCACCAACCTGCTGATTTATTTTGCACAGTTTTGTTTCCCCATTTAGGGAGATTTCTGGTTTGGTAAATTTGCATAAATCTCCTGGAAAGTTAACAAAGATGATGAGGATACTCAAATCAATCTGAAGGTGGAGAAAAGCAAATAATACTAAGTATGTGCAAATCCCCCTTAAGTTGAGAAAATAAAGGTTTCAATGTTTTGGAAGGCAATGCAACTGAGGAGTAAATTGATTAGGTTAATTTCAACATGTAATAGAAAGGCAACATATTAGCAAGATTGCAAGAAACTCTCCTCCTCCTCCTCCCTTTACTACTCTTGCTAAGTGGATCTGCAGCCTCTTCTGGCAAGTCATGAGCAAGCCATCATGCCAGGTTTGGACATCATGACATACCACTCTGAAAATAAACTAGACCAAACAGCCCAACAACAAACCAAGGCTTCTCAGGAAGGCTTGTATGTGCTTAACAAGCCATGCTGAGAAAGCCATGCTGGGTTTAGACATCCCCACCAGCTGCTCTAAATCAAACAAGTCTGACAAGCCACTGTAGGCTGTTACATCATGTGAACCAGGTCAAAGAGTTACCCCACCCCACCTCACCCTACCCCTGGAGTTCCCACCACCTGCATGCCAGGCACCAGCATCTATACAACCATCAATGGCTCCTTAAAGCCCAGGCAGCTCCTCTCTGGTGGTGTGTTTAACAGCAGATCAGGCAGCCTTCAGAAAGCCTCAGAAGCCCCCTGCCTGTTGCTGAGTAAGTCCTGGCCAGCACAGATTTGCCCTGCTTCAGTGACCTTCCAGGAAATGCCACTGCTTCAGACTGGCCCCTTGGGGAAATCTGAGCTGAGTTCGAACAGCACACTGGAAGCAGACTTACTCAAACAGGACCCTCCTGACCATGGATACTGCCAGCATGTGCCACTGGTAGAATGAACAACGAATTTATTGCAAATTGTTTGGGTTTTCTTGTTGCTGATTTCTTTTTTTTGGGGGGGGCGGGAGGTAGGATTTTATTTTCTACACTGTGTTGGAAATGTCTTATTTTAAATTTTAAAGCAGAAAAGACATTCTTTCAAATAAACCTGAATAAATACTCGCTTTCAGAGCCAGCATCATGCGCAGGTGCCGCTGGCTCCCTGCTGAGGCCTGGGCTGCGGCTCTCCGGCCTTCCCTTTACTCTGGCTGCGCGTTCACTTGCCCTGTGCAGGGGCGCCGGCAGCAGTGCACACCGGGAGCAGGCACAGCACCCTCCCCCCCCACCCCCAGCCTCTCCCTCCTTGACAACAGTGCGGGCTGTTCCTGGAAGACGGGGCAGGGGAACAGGCGTCCGAATGGAAGTGAAGCCACCCTGGCAGGTGGCTCTGGGGGAACATTTGACCAACAGCTCCTGCTAAGCCTGGAGTGGACCCTGCATGATCTAAAATGCCCCCGTGGTGCGACCTACCCGTTCAATTTCTCCAACAGAAAGGGGCACAGTCGGTGGCCACTGTCCTTTATTTCCATCAGTAGCATGATGTCACACCTGGAAATAATCTGCAGGAGAAAACAGGCAGGGGCATTGAATGATATTTGGCTGGAGAGATCTGGAAGGGCATTAAGGGCAGACATGGGGCATTAAGGGTGTGTTCCCGGGCATGTTTCGACAGGCAGCTTCACCCAGTACAGGAGCGGGGGGCAGCTGCTTGCCAGCACAGTGTGGACCCATGGTCCAAAGCGAGTGAGCTGCTGGTCCGCAGTCCCCAGAGGCTTGCCCGGTGCCATTCACATCCTCCATGCATGGACCCCCACACCCCTTTCTCTCAGCCTCCCTCTGCATCTGACTTCTGGGCCGCAACATGTGAGGCAGTGGCGGTTCGAGATGCCCCTGGCCTGCTACTGCGGCCCTCTCCCAAAGCCACCCAGGCCTGGATGCCCCACTGGGGTGTTGCGAGGTGGCTGCAGCCGGCTTGCTCTGGCTCTGGGGCTGTCCCCTGAAAGAGAGGTTGACAGGCAGCCTCTCTGGAGAGCCCACCCAGGGCCCTCTCAGGAAGAGGCTAGGCAGCCAGTGTCGGGAGAGCCTTGATGACAGCCGCAGCAAGGATAACCAGTTCAGTCAGGAAAGACCCCTTTGGCCTTGAACCTCAGCCGTTTTATGGAAAGATCACCCAGGACCCCTGCAGTGGCTTATGACAGCATGCTACCAGATAGTGGTTCTCACCACCAACTACAAGCTTTTAGAACACACAGAGTGTTTTATAGATCCTGAGTCACGTGGGCCCAGCAGCTGGGCAGCTGATGACCAGGTAAGGTGCTCACCGTCAGAAGAAGGTGAGAGGTCTGCAGAGGGGGCTCAGTGCAATGGCATTTCACTGCAGGAGATTAACATAACCATCACTGAGGCACAGGCATTACTGTGGGTCTTGGCATGCACGTGAGGGTGACTGCAATGTTGTTAACCTGGCTGCCTTATCAGTTCTTACTGATCAGCAAAAACAATAGTCCTGGCAGCATCCTGGGGAAGCTATCAGGTCCCACTTCTTAAAGTAACAGGAAATGCTAAACTGGAACCGGGCTTGGAATTTTGGGGTGCTTCCTGAGAAAGGGGTGCAGGCATTTTATCACACAAAGGCACATAAGCCACCCTTTTCTGCCAGGATCTAATTTGAATTTTCCCAGCAATCCCACTAGCACAGCTATGTGACACCAGCCGCCACACAGACCCAGTGGAACCCTTCCTTTGGGAGAGGGTCCAGAGCAGGGAGAAGGATGGCTGCTCCTCCAAGGAGCCATGGGGGCATCAGCTGTGGCATGGGAGGAGGACCGGTGTGGTGGTGGCTGTGGCCACGGAGGCCCTTCTCCTGATGGCCACGGGAGTGGGCCTGAGCAGGAGATTTGTCCCCTCTTGCAGGAGGACCGGCCCCGGGAAGGGGCTCTCCCGGCAGCAGGGCTGAGGAATCCGCCCCCGAGAAAGGAAGGGCGAGCGCTCTTGCCCCGTTTCGAGCTCGGGGGAGGATGGAGGGAGCCCTCGCCTCACGGCACAGCACAGAAATGCTGCTCCCCCCGCCACTCATGCCCTTCGGAAGAGAAGGGGCTTTGGCCAAGGCCTGCAGGGCTGCATGGAGAGGCCTGGTGGCAGGTCGCACTGCTGGAAGTCCTCTAGACAAGGCTGGCCAGTGGTCCGACTCAACGCCTGTCTATAAAACAAACAAGGGATCAAAGAAATGCATGTCCTCCAGGCTGTCACTCTAATCATGACAGAAGGCCAATGGAAGCATTCGAAATGCTGGCATTTATGTATGAATTGCGTGATGAATAACACCCTCTGACTTTCCAACGAACATTTTCAACTGCTCTTTTTAACCATAGCAACATGACTGCAAAGAGATGTGAAAACGGGCATGTCACGAAGAGCAGTGCCTGCCCCCATTTTGTTGCTATCGGACAAAAGATTCAAAGTTTGCAGTTTACTGGGTGATGAAGGATCTAGAGGAGCAGTTGTACTTCAAGTTTTTCTTCCGTGCTTTAGCAGCACTAAGTGGCTTTCATTCGGAGCCAGACAGCCCTTCTTGCTTACTTTTATCTGATGCGCAGCCTTTTGAATGGCACCAAGCGCTTCAATTGCTAGTCTCCTTGGAGGGTGTTTATAATAAACGCACTTTCATCTATGCAGGCCAATTGTCTTGTGCTTATAATTCCTACTTAATGAGCCTGGGATACTTCACTGTTGTAATTAAATGAATTAAGAATGCCAGTAATGAAGCAATAACTGATGAGACTATTGATGAAAACAGAGTGATTTATCCCTCATGTACATTTATATTAGTATTTCTGCTAGATTTAATGTGTAAATAAATTTTGCTGAATACAGGTCTGCAAATTGATTTTTGCAATAGAGAAAAACAACAGACTTCTTAATGCTGCACCACTCATTAACTTGGAACTTGCCTCTGTAAAGGTAAAATATCCCGAAAGACGAATTAGATTAAAAAAAAAAAGAATTCTTACATCCATCAGCTGGTTATTTATTTAATCCCAGAGTGGGACAACATACCTTTACAATGATGTCCATAATTTCTGGTCTTGTCCTCTTAGCTTCTCCAAATGACCTCACATTGAAAGAACAGATTAGTAGGCTCTGAGCTGTGTGGAAAGCAACAAGCAGAAATAGAGAAATTCGCAGCATTTTTCGGACAGAGCCACCAAAATACAGCGCAGCAAGGTATATTTCTGTTACTTGGTACCCACTCGGCAAATACAAAAGCTGTGGAATTTCACTGCTATATTACATGCCATCTATGCAAATTAAGAGGCACATTGTTATTGGCTTCCTCCACAGTCCATTCAGTTCTTTATTTCCAGATTAAGAACAGTTGTTGAGAAATTTATGTAGCATTGTACCCTGGGGATTACCTGAAATGAGAGCCAACTTCCACAACTGACTAGGTTTCGTCTGAACTTTATGGGAGAAAATGGACTGAACTCCACAAGATAACAGCAGTGGACTGTCCCGGTTGCATATAAATAGAAACTGCCCTGATGCATCATAGCAGGAACTTCCCTTGAACTACACCCTGCTACAGCGGTTTTTCTCTCGGTCGGGCTCACTTCTGGTATCAGGGCCTACACCTTCTGGGGGAGAAAGTGGCATGGAGGGGACTGTGGGGAAGCAATGTGGGTGGATCTGTTTCTTGGTCCATCTAGCCCAGTGTGGTCTACTCTGAGTAGCAGCAGGTGTCTTTGGCCACAGACAGGTATCTTTCCCCTTGCCTGCACCTGAGATCCTTGTAACTAGAAGTGGCAAAGAGTTAATCTCAGACTCTTGATGTGCAATATGTGAACTCTGACACAGCTATGGCCACCCCTCCTATAGCATATGCACCCACAAGTAGCTGACACCCCCATTTTCTCCTGCTTCTAATGTGGTAACTAAAAGTTCAACTGCCCTTCTCACAATCAAACCAGATCTGCTGATTCCTGAGGAATCTGTATTGTTCATCACCCAGCATAATACAAAAGCAGAAGGGGAACATAATGGTGATTAAATTGTTTCCTTCCACATTTAGGGCCATGGGAATCAAAGTGCATTGCTCCTGGCCTCCAAAGTTTTTGCACTAACACAAGGAGCGTGGGAAGCAAGCCAAATGAACTTGAAACCTGATCCAAGATGGTAAGGACAAGCCAACAGGCATCACTGATAGGCGTGACAGGGAAATCCTCAGTCGATTCAGATAAACCTGAACTGTGGACACTGTAGTGGGCTGCCATTATCCAAACTGCATGTACTCTGCAGATCGCAGACCCCCCCCTCCACCTTTTTTTTTAAATGCTTGGGCTGTGATAAGTGTGACTGTGTTTATTTGCAAATCCACACTTGCCCCACCATGTGTTAGCATAACTGTGCATCATTGCAAACAAGATGCTCATATAAAAGTCCGATTCCATTAGAGGGTGGATACTGGAACAAAAGATGTCCGAGAATCCACAAAACCTAGATGGAACAGATTTCTCCTAATCCAAATCTACCTAACTTTTGTTGCTGAGACTTGGTGGAAGGAGGCTCAGGACTGCGGTGCAGTCACGGGAGGGCAGGCCTTCTTTAAATGGAATAGGAAGGCAGGGGTAGCTGCTCTTACATGGCATGTTTAGACCTGTGTGGAGATTCAAGATTCTGGGGACGGAAGCCCTGTGGGTAGCGCTTGGGTACAGCCAGAGGGAGGGAGGAAGAAGAGCGATGCTGTTGCTGCGGTTCACTGCAGTCTGCGCAGCCAGCTGGAAGACCTGGGTGGCATTTTCTGGAACAGATGATATCACTGGCCTTTGTGGGATCGTTAACAGGAATGGGGGATCCCAGTTATCCTGACATTTGCTGCAAGTCTAACTCTGCCAAGGCTGGCAGATCCAGAAGGCAGGAGGAGCAGGAAAGATGAGTCCTGGCCTTAATCCTGACCAGCAGAGAAGAAATGCCAAATGAACTGAATAGGAACAGTAAATGTAAGGGAAAGCAACTGTAACAGGGCTCCCCATTGCTGACCGGCCGTGGTGGCTTGCTGTATTGTCCAAAGCCAGATCGCTTTCCATAGATTGGCTTGTTTGAGGGTCCCCAGGACCCCAGAATACATGTGCCCCCTTCTGGTGGTCAGATATTTGCCAGTCCTGCCTGCGCTACTGCCTTGCCAATTCCAGCTGCTCGGTGGTGACTGAGAAGTGGGGCAAGAGAGCGCTTGGGCCATGCTGCGGAGAGTTGACCTGTGGAGCGCCCAGCCGTGGGTGGGAACCCACCAGCAAGCAGGGGAACACAATGCAACGGTGAGTGCACAAACAGGAGGTGTGCAGCAGTTCCCCCCTTAGCCAGGGGTTTCCTTGGGTTTTAAGTGTCAAACTGGCACCCCTCAGTGCCAGTCACCTCTGGGACATTTCCTGGGTCTCCAGCTAGTCTAGAAAAGGGAAATTGAAAGGCTGTACCTTTTTGTGGCTTGTTTTCAGGAATCTTACTGCAATTCCCTAAGAGCTGCCAAAAGCCCTTGGGATAGGGCTGAATGGGACAGAGTGAACAGGGCCTCACTGAGGCAGGGGCTGCATTTGGACTGCCCCATTCCGCCACTTGTGCGTGTGTGTGTGTGTGTGTGTTTATAGAAACTCTGTCAAATTTTCATGCTTTTGGAGAAAAAAGAAGCAAGTATAGGGCAAATCTACAGAGCATTTCTCCTCCATTCTCCATATACCTGTTCAACCTCTTCTAATGCCCACTGGAACAGCTGAGCTTTACCTGCAGCCTCTGTGGGACAATGCCCTCAATGGGTACCTGCTGGACTCTGCTAGCAGACACCTCCCACCTGAGGATCCTCAGTCCCACCTTTGCATAACTGCAAAGAAGCAGATTTGTACTTGGCTAGGAGTTCACATACCCCCACACTGCCTGGAGTTCCAAGATAAAAGAAAGGTCAGGAGTAAATGTTCTAAACCAGGGGTCCTCAAACATTTCCAACAGGGGGCCAGTTCACTGTCCCTCAGACTGTTGGGGGGCCAGACTATAGTTTGAAAAAAATAAATGAACTCCTATGCACACTGCACATTAAAAAATTAATTTAAAAATTCATGAAAATTAAAATAAATTTTAAAATGTTTGCTTGCTTGCTCAGAGAAGGCCACAGCAGAGGCACGGGAGCCCCACGGCTTTCTCCGAGTAAGCCGCTCCTCCTCAGCCTGTCCGCCCTGGGCTTGGCTCAGCAGCGGCAGCAGCAGCTTGCTCCCTCAGAGAAGGCCATGCAGCCTGGACACCCCTGGGCTCACTTAATTAAAAATAGATTTAAAAAGTTATTTTCTTACCTTCAATCCTTTTTTAGTTTCTTTGTCTTTCTTTCTCTTCCACCTCTCTTCTGTTTCCTGCACCGTATTCCCGCTCTGTATATGTGTACAATGGGGGTGTGGGGGGGGGGGGGGAAGCTGGCGCCTACGTGCAGTTGAGCTGTTGCAATTTGGCGTATGTGCCGGCTCTCTGCTCAGTTTCAGAGAATGCCTGCACTGGCTCAGAGCTTTTGGACTCTCTTGAAGAACATTTTCTCTGAATGAGTCCAAAACCTCTGAGGCGGGCTGGATAAATAAGCATGGTGGGCCATGTTCTAAACCAATGAATGGCTTTGGCAATGACTTCTAAACATAATGGACATGTGGCACTGTCATACGGCACAGATATGAGAGACTGGCAATGCAGTGATGAAAACAGGGCGCAGGGAAAAGGAGGAGTCTGAAAGCAGGTGTAAATGCACCAGTATTCTGGCTTTTAGATCTTGTTAGGTGGCTCACGCCTTGAGATCAAGGGCAAAACCAGAGGAGCTGCTTATCAGGACAGAGTTGTTAACGGATCATTATAGCTGATTATTGGGAAGCCTCCGGTAGTTCATTGGAATGGCAGATCATCCAGAACACCCCCTTACGCTTCCTTTAAGGGTGCTGCTGGAATGCCAGGCTGGCCAGATGAGCCAGACACACCACCAAGCCCTGGGACGCTCAAGTGCTCTTTGGAGCTGTTTTGTCTCCTGGTCAATTTGCCTTGGGATGGGTAGCAGGAAGCCAGATTCAAGAATCTGGAAGCAGTTGCATGTGGATAGGATGAATTGCCCCCCAGAAAGATACGCAGTACCAAAGAGGAAGGCAAAAGAGGGCAGTGATTCATATAACATCTGCATATGGGAATGTGTACGTAAAAATGGGAATGTAGAAATAATTGCAATAAGTGTAATCTAAATACAGCGCTTCACACCACTGTGTCAAAACCTGTGGCTAGACGGCTTGTGCCTGTTCCATCTGAACAGATGCTAACTGGTGGCGGGCAACCATTCTGATGGCTCTTTATCTTTAAACCAGGTTTGGAGGGGACAGCCCTTCAAGCAGAGCAACCCTTCCTGTGGGGGCCTCCCTCCGTAAAAGAGGATTCCTGGTGTTGGCCAGATTGTCTCGTGGGACCGGGGGAACAAGAATGCAGCAAATGCCCACCCTGATGAGTTGGGAAATGGTTTAGGAAGACCTCTGGCTTGGGTCAAATACATGAATTAACAATTCTGCAAAGTAGAGCTGGGCCTGATCCCTTTTCTCTGGGCATGAGAACATTTGAGGATTGAGCACCGGAGCTGGAGGTCTTCTCCACAGCGTCACAGCTTGTCCCATAGACCGGAGGTTGTATCCTTACCAGCCAATGTCCCATTGAACTTGGTGGGATTAACTTCTCAGAGATCACGCATAGGATTGTAGTCTATAAGTCTATAAATACTTGCAGACAAGCTTTTTAAAGACATGTAAGTGTTTCCCCTAACAATAAACATCCGGAGAAGGAAAAGAAAAGAAACTGAAGGCCGCAGGGGAAATTCAAAGCAGAACAGGGAAGCAGAAATGGAATTTCCAAGGGCAACAGAAACTGTTTGTGTAACAGCCACCTGGCAATTATATTAGCCCTCTCTGAGACAGAGAGGAAGCCTGACTTTGGAGATAAGAAAACAGCAGTTCACATTTCTCCACTGACAGCTTGACTGGCTTCAGGAGAATAGTTGCCAAGGAGAAAATACAAAGAAAAGCCATTTTGTGCACTCTAGAGCAACGTGTTTCTCTTTCAAACATCCAGCTCCAATTTTATAATTTCATCCATGCATGCATAAACGAGCAGTAGCTGGCTTGGATTTCTTTGTTCTA